GGAGGGGGACTTAAACACGTCAACTGCGGAGAGATGTCACAGGGAAGTCAGTGACACTCTGAGTAGGTACCGTTTGAAATTGTCAACCCTATATTTTGAAGATGCAACTTAAGCCGGCTGGGCACTTAGCTTTTGCAGGAGAGGCAAGCAGGAACTAGGCTCTGCAAATCCCTGTAAGGGCCAACACCCACACTGGTAAAACACACTGTGTGTAAATTGATGCATTGATATGCGCCGCATAACTTGTTTTCACCCGTTTCACACAAAAATGACATCATCGGAGGATGCGCGTTTGGACCGCAGCGGGGGTACAAAATCAAGTCACGCACGCCGTCGCCAACCTACACACTTGCTCTACCAGTGCAGCGTGCTCAGTTACCTCTTGCCCCTCACCGCCGCCGTCCTGGCCGCAAGCCCGGGCCGCCGGGCCGGTGCAGCAGGCCCTGCATTGGGCCCGCTGCGCTTGCGCGCGCGGGGGGAGGGGGAGGGGGTCAGAAGGACTGGCGCACTACGTGACTACGTGCGCACCTCAGCAGTATGTCGTCGCCCACCCTGAGCGAGTTGGACCGGCCCCGGAAGTGGCCCTGCACGGTGGGGCTGTCGGGCAGCGACAGCGAGTTGGCCTTGGTCGTGACGAGCGGCGGACGCGGCGAGGGGAACGGCGTCGACGACAGACCGAGCGAGGAGCCCCGCCGCGACCCCGTGGCCGAGCCGCCCGCCTGCTGCGAGCAGAAGCTGATGTTGGACTTGCGCCGCGAGTTGTGGCGCTCGAACGTCTTCTGCGCCGAGAACGGGCTGGGCCGCACGAGGTATCTGCGGGCAGAGAGAGGAGATGAGCGTGAACGCGGGGAGAGAAGAAGACCAGAGATAAACGCTGTAGTATCGCAATCTGGATTTCACTCTAGCCGCCTGTGACCTGCTGCGGCTAACGCCTGCCGTGCAGAGGGTAGGCAACCACCGGCCTCGCGTGCGTGGCGGGTCTGCCTATCCCGCACCCCGCAGGCGCCCGGCCGCGCCCGGCTTCGCCCGGCCTCGCTCGGCACTCGGCTCAACTCACATGATGTCGCCCTCTTCCAGCTTGAGGTCGCAGCTCGGGTTGATGATGACGTAGCTGAGGTGGTTCCTCTTGTCACCCACGTCGTCGTAGTCCGTGTAGGGCAGGTTGAGGCTCTCCATCCTCGAGCGGACCAGGTTGGCGATCTCGGCGCGCTCGATCTGATTCGTGTGGTTGTCGCGCGCCTCGTCCACCAGGTTGAGCGAGAACTGCACAGCGGAGGTAAGAGTCAGTACGGAGCAGGACACCGATTTCGTTTTCGGGTGGGCAGCACTTTACTTAACCACGTGGTCAGATTTTCGTGCGAAGTCCTTGTCCCGATTGTACGGCAAAACATAATTTCGATACCAATTGACATCAAAGACAACATCAAGATGGCCGAAAGATGACACAATCATGACACCTTCCCAACGTCAGAATGGTGTTATTTGATATCAAAATAATGTTTGCGTTCAATTAGGAATGTGCTCGGATGAGACCCGTTCGTGTTCCAGGTGGCTGCAAACCTTCCCTTATATGCACTAGTGGGTAAGCTATACAGTAAACACGACGGTCACTGGTGCCCGTGGCGTACGCCTACGGCAAAGCATATCACAGTATTCAGGGTGGTTTCCAGCGATCCAGAGCACGAAAGTGGTTGGATTGTGTTGTGTTGTATCAACATTCACACACAGTTGGCAATGTTTCAAACTATTTGCCAGAAAGTTACACATTTCAGTTCAAAATACACACGATGCAATGAAAGAGAGAAGCAGCGACGAGCTCGAGCTTTTGAGTGTGAAAAACGACGAAGTGCACCCGCTTGTCACACGGCAGCATGCATATTGTAAAAGTTGCGGTGAGCATTTCACAGGCTTCCAGACCATCAAGTGCGTGGCGCTAGGCATGCATAAAAGATTTGTGGATGCTACCTCTGACCGTCAGCGTCGGACCATGCACGTGGTGAGTGGAGAGAGAGAGAGAGAGAGAGGATGGGAGGAGAGAGCAGAGATAAGGTCAACAGATAGGATTAAAAATAGCAGGGCGCAGAAAACTCGTAAGTGCGCAAAACAAATAAAAAAACGACATGGCAGCGAAAAAATAAATAAAAATCGAACGCCGTGTCATTCAGTGCGTGGCGTGGGCGAGGAAATCGCAGTGGTTTCAAAAGTCAAAAAAGGCGTGCGTAAAACATGAAGAAAAAATATCTTCGAGCTGCTCGAGATGGCAGCTAGAGACACGCCGACCCGACCCGACCAAGGAATGGAGAGTCCGAGCAGGATAAAAATACTTCAGGGAGAAGAAGGTATTGAGATGACCGTTCTTGGATATTCCGTTCACTGGAATTTGAACAAGTCTAAAAGAAAAATGTCACACTCGGGTAGGAGGAGTACAAGCTGAAGAACGCGAGTTACGGGACACTAAAAATAAAGTGTTCAACTGGCGTTCACATGCAAGTGTTCAACATTATGTTGCACACTTTTAAGTGCTGAACTGGATATTTGAAGACTATAAAGTGTTTAACAGTAAAGTTGAACACTTGGAAGGGTTGGCCATGAACCTTTGTACATTTGAAAGTGTTCAAATTTACTGTTGAACACTTTTAAGTATTCAAATATCCAGTCAAACACTTAAAAAAGTGTTAAATAGTGTTGAGCTTTTGCATGTGCACGCCAGTTGGACACTTTATGTATTAGTGAATTGAAAGTCTTTAATGCGCTACACAAAGCCTCTAGTTTTTTCCAAAAGAAAAAATTCCCAACGACGTTTGAAAGGTAGTAGTACTGCCTATTCAAAACGTAGCTCTACTTGAGCGACACGTCTGCTCCAAAAAGTTCATGAGAGAGTGTTAACTAGTGGCACACAACTGCTGCCCGAACACGGCAAAATTGCGAGACCACCAACACGGCAGGCGGGGAAGAAGTAGTGCGCATCCAGAGTTGCATAACCCCAGCTAAGTTGACTTTACAAAACACGAGACGGTCTGACGGACTGTCTTCAACTCTTTGGCTGGTGGAGGTGCACCTTCCGCTCCGCCCGCGCCATGGCGGCTCCGCCGGGCTCTGCTGCTACTACAAACTGGCTGGCCTGCATATGTACACCTGACCGCCGCGCGCCGCTGCGCCGCTGCGCCGCCTGGCCCCTCACCGCCGCGGGGGACAAATAAAAGTGTGAGACACTCCGATTTGCAAAACGTGGTGCATGGTCAAGGTCACGACAAAGAGAGTGAGTGACAACCGTAGGAGTCAAAAGGGTAAAGTTGTACAACACAAAAACATTGCCAAACGGATGTCGTGCACCCTTATCGGAATGTCAGGCACTTTTTTTAACTACAGAAATGCGCTGCCCCCAAAACGCGGAACAGCGGTGCCCTGCGGGTGTGGCAGTCCGGCGGCAGTCCGGCGGCAGCGGGCGCCGCGGGTCAGTCCTACAGACAGGGGCTGGCTAAGGAAGGCCGGCTACGAGACGCACGCTGTGTTCTGCCGTCAGGATGGGTTGGTAACTATCTGCGCGCCCGCGTTGCTTTTGGGTCCTCCTCCCCCAGCGCGACGAGAAGCGCCACCGGGAGCCCTGGTGTCCGAGGGGCGACCCCGGGTCCCCCGCCAGGCCCCCCGGGACCCCCGAGCCAGCCGCGGGCCTGCGCTTGGAGCCGGCGCCGCGGCCGCAGCAGCAGCCGTGCAGGGACTCCTGGTCGGCGTCCTGGTCGGCATCCTGGCCGCCATCCGGGCCGAGCAGACCGCCACTACTCACCGCAGAGCTGTGGTGGTCGCACGCCACGCACATGGACGAGCGTCCGCGCTTGGGCTTGTATGTAACACCCACGCCGTCGTCCTCGTCCAGCTTGTGGAGAAGAGGCAAGTAGTAGTAGTAGGAGAGTGAGAGAGAGTGAGAAAGAGAAAGAGAGAGAGAGAGAGAGAGAGAGAGAGAGAGAGAGAGAGAGAGAGAGAGAGAGACGGGCGAGGCGAGGACGGGTAGAGGAAAGAGAAAGAAAAAGACAGTACCTGTTATTAAGGTGGACTTGTAAACGTCCGTGTTAGTGTCGGTTTTACTGCCAGGTGCGGGTATTTGTCAGTATCTTGGCGAAAGGGAAGTGGATGTTCGAACGCAAAACAACGAGCCTTCAGTGTTAATTGCTAAATTTAAAAGGTAGTATTAGCTGAGCTTAGTTATGCATTTTTAGTAGAGTAGTCAGTCGACCATGCGAATATGACAAGGGCATCATCAACCAGCTATCGGTATAGTGTGGTAAACTACAACTGTAAAATTACAGAAGTAATCAAGAAAAACATGCCGTAGGAGACGACGCACCGCTGCAAATTCAGAGCAATAGAATAAAAAGTTTAAGAATTTAAAATTTAAA